AAAAAGATTTGGCATTTTTATGGTTATCTTTTTTTTTTTTTTGAATAAAAAAAAACGTTCCGTGTAGATTTTGATCAGATAAGGGGGGAAAATCGATTTGTGGAGAGAACTCTTTTCAACCTTGGTGAAAAAGAAAATCTGTTTTTGAAAAATACTTCGCTGTTAAGTAGCTTTATTTCTTTCGACCAAATCGTCTCCATTGTGTGACTATTTCAACAATCTATCGTACACCCTGTAATGTTAACATTGATGTCACATTTCTGATTCACCATTCTGTCCTGTATTCTATAGTAAATCATTACACCAATCTTTGCTCTATTCCCTTATTTATTAATTTACTAGCCGTCCCGGCCAGGCCCTGCTCTGGTTTCTGTGAAAAACCTTTCTGTTAAAGACCATTACCTGTGTGTTTAGTAATCATCATAAACCCGGCATTGTCCACCCAAACCACAACCAACCAAAACCAAAACAACAAAACGCAAACATAACGCTAACACAATTACAAATACAAACGAAAACAAAAACCTAACAACAAACCCAACCACAACCACAAACACCAATACAAACACAAAGAAAAAACAAACAAAAAAGCAAACGAAAACAAAAACCTAACAACAAACCCAACCACAACCACAAACACCAATACCAACACACACAATAAAACGAAAAAGCAAACGAAAACAAACCAAATTCAAACGCAAAACCAACCAAAAACACAAATACAAACCCAAAGAAAAAAACAGAAACAAAAACGAAATATATATATATATTAGATTCTTTATTCCCTTATCTACGAACCTATCCTCTATTTATTTCCCCCAATCTATCCGCTATTTCCTATTCCCCAATCTATTCTCTATTTCTTAATCCCCAAATCTATTCTCTGTTTCCTAATCCCAAATATACTCTCTATTTCTTAATTCCCAAATATATTCTCTATTTCTTAATTCTCACAATCTATACTCTATTTCCTAATCCCCCAATCTATCCTCTATTACATAACCCCCCCCCCCCCCCCCCCCCCACAATCTATTTTGTATTTCATAAATCTCAAACCTTCTGAAACCATAGAAAAACTTACCAGCTTTCAGGTAAAAAATTTAGTCGTTAACATCTTGACGTCACATCTTTTCTCTACTCGATCTCGCTCAATGATTGGCTGAATAAGTCTAACAATTAATAGCCCTCTGGCACGGAAGTATTTCATTAAACGCATGCGCAGTGACAGGTTCGGTAGTCGCTGGGAAATGTGGGGGGGGGGGAAGATGAATTGCTGTTTGAGGCATTCCCCGCTGGCTGGAACTATGTCGTAATGGCTCTAGTCACGTGATGCGGGTGGCTGCTTTCTAACGTGTTACAGGTAACAGGTACAGCTTCCTGTGGCAGGTACAACTTCCTGTAGCAGGTACAACATCCTGTAGCAGGTACAACTTTCTGCAGCATGTACAATTTCCTCTAGTATGGCCAACTTTTCAGAATCGCGCCCTATCCTTATAAATCTTGTCTGTTATTGTAGGTTAAATGTATCCTATCTTCATCTATATTGCAATATCGTCCTATCACCCTGTCCTATCGTACTGTAATATGTCCTCTCACCATGTCCTATTGTCCTATCACCATGTCCTATCACCATGTCCTATCACCATGTCCTATCACCATGTCCTATCGTCCTATCGCTATGTCCTATCGGCCTATCTTCCTATCACCATGTCATATCACCATGTCCTATCAACATGTCCTATCACCATGTCCTATCACCATGTCCTATCACCATGTCCTATCGTCCTATCGCTATGTCCTATCGGCCTATCTTCCTATCACCATGTCCTATCGCCATGTCCTATCGGCCTATCAACATGTCCTATCGTCCTATCACCATGTCCTATCACCATGTCCTATCACCATGTCCTATCACCATGTCCTATCGTCCTATCGTCCTATCACCATGTCCTATCGTCCTATAAACATGTCCTATCACCATGTCCTATCTTCCTATAAACATGTCCTATCACCATGTCCTATCACCATGTCCTATCTTCCTATCACCATGTCCGATCACCATGTCCTATAGTCCTACCACCATGTCCTATCACCATGTCCTATCGCCATGTCCTATCACCATGTCCTATCGTCCTATCACCATGTCCTTACACCATGTCCTATCACTATGTCCTATCGTCCTTTCATCCTATGCTATCGTCCAGTAACAAGTCACACATTTCTGATCATGTGACACCTTAAGACCACATTCTTTTGGATTCGTACAGCTTAAAGCCTGGTTTAATTTTTTTAAAAAGACTGGTAGGATTAAAATGATTGGCCAGTCTAATTAAACAGAAAAACGTTGAAGAATAATTGGCTAGTTCATTTGAGCAGATATTCTTGTCAAATCTTGAAAGAAACCATCATGTGGTCAAATATTTTATATGGTGGTTTGTGATCCTTCTACATTGTGTATGATCTGCTCAAGGATTTGATCTTGTGGTTTGATATGAACTATACCTGAGTTAAGATCATTGTAACGTTATGCCCGTGTTTGCGTATGTGATCCTTCTACATTGTGTATGATCTGCTCAAGGATTTGATCTTGTGGTTTGATATGAACTATACCTGAGTTAAGACCATTGTAACGTTATGTCCGTGTTTGCGTATGTGATCCTTCTACATTGTTTGTGGTCACGGTCTGTCTACACAGCGCACTTATTCGGGTACTCTGCCTAATGGGTGTTATTGTTCATGCTATCGTTTCAAGGTTTCTCTCAGGCAACTCTTCGGCGGAGGGAAAAGGTCGTCGAAACTCGTCCATAATTTCCCCCCCCCCCCCCAACCCCCGAAAGAAATTGAAAAAAAAAATATTTATACGTAAATTATATAATTTAACTAGTGTCCGCCCCCTCCCCTGAAAGTTTCTAGTACCCCTCCACTGGAGATAGTTGTCTGAAAGAAGCCTTTAATTTTATCCTATAGGTTCAACTTCTATTCTGGTATCACCTCTTTTCTTTCAATTTAAATTATATTAACACGTGGAGATGATGGGAAAAACTTTCCTGATGCGTTTTTTTAATTGTTTCTATGTCTGAAACATTTTAGTAATAACAACAATTCGTCTAGTTTTTATAAAAATCTTGCAAAACCTACATAACCAAAGTTTTATCATCGTTTATGTTTTAGTAACACAGCACGCAAAAAATTTTAATAATTAGCTATAAAAAAAAATTCTACTTTTGTGCTACTTTCTGTCCACTTTCAGGTTGTGTTATCTACAACAAAATGTCCACTTTCATGCTTTAGCCTACAACAAAATGTCCACTTTCAAATTGTGTTACCGTTAACAAAATGTCGACTTTCAGGTTGTGTTAGCTTCAACAAAATGTCCACTTTCAGGTTGTGCTACCTACAACAAAATATCCACTTTCAAATGTCCACTTTCAGGTTGTGCTACCTACAACAAAATATCCACTTTCAAATTTCCACTTTCAGGTTGTGCTACCTACAACAAAATATCCACTTTCAAATGTCCACTTTCAGGTTGTGTTAGCTTCAACAAAATGTCCACATTTGGGTTTTGCTACCTACAACAAAATGTCCACTTTCAGGTTGTGTTAGCTTCAACAAAATGTCCACTTTCAGGTTGTGCTACCTACAACAAAATATCCACTTTCAAATATCCACTTTCAGGTTGTGCTACCTACAACAAAATATCCACTTTCAAATATCCACTTTCAGGTTGTGTTATCTACAACAAAATGTCCACTTTCATGCTTTAGCCTACAACAAAATGTCCACTTTCAGGTTGTGCTACCTACAACAAAATATCCACTTTCAAATATCCACTTTCAGGTTGTGCTACCTACAACAAAATATCCACTTTCAAATATCCACTTTCAGGTTGTGCTACCTACAACAAAATATCCACTTTCAAATGTCCACTTTCAGGTTGTGTTATCTACAACAAAATGTCCACTTTCGTGCTTTAGCCTACAACAAAATGTCCACTTTCAGGTTGTTACCTACAACAAAATGTCCACTTTCAAATTGTGTTACCGTTAACAAAATGTCCACATTTGGGTTTTGCTACCTACAACAAAATATCCACTTTCAGGTTGTGTTAGCTTCAACAAAATGTCCACTTTCAGGTTGTGCTACCTACAACAAAATATCCACTTTCAAATCTCCACTTTCAGGTTGTGCTACCTACAACAAAATATCCACTTTCAAATGTCCACTTTCAGGTTGTGCTACCTACAACAAAATATCCACTTTCAAATATCCACTTTCAGGTTGTGCTACCTACAACAAAATATCCACTTTCAAATATCCACTTTCAGGTTGTGCTACCTACAACAAAATGTCCACTTTCATGCTTTAGCCTACAACAAAATGTCCACTTTCAGGTTGTGTTATCTACAACAAAATGTCCACTTTCATGCTTTAGCCTACAACAAAATGTCCACTTTCATGCTTTAGCCTACAACAAAATGTCCACTTTCATGCTTTAGCCTACAACAAAATGTCCACTTTCAGGTTGTTACCTAAAACAAAATGTCCACTTTCAAATTGTGTTACCGTTAACAAAATGTCCACTTTCAGGTTGTGTTACCTACAACAAAATGTCCACTTTCAGGTTGTGTTAGCTTCAACAAAATGTCCACTTTCAGGTTGTGCTACCTACAACAAAATGTCCACTTTCAGGTTGTGCTACCTACAACAAAATATCCACTTTCAAATATCCACTTTCAGGTTGTGCTACCTACAACAAAATATCCACTTTCAAATATCCACTTTCAGGTTGTGCTACCTACAACAAAATATCCACTTTCAAATGTCCACTTTCAGGTTGTGCTACCTACAACAAAATGTCTACTTTCAGGTTGTGCTACCTACAACAAAATGTCCACTTTCAGGTTGTGCTACCTACAACAAAATGTCTACTTTCAGGTTGTGCTACCTACAACAAAATGTCCACTTTCAGGTTGTGCTACCTACAAGCCTACAACAAAATGTCCACTTTCAAATGTCCAATTTCAGGTTGTGCTACCTACAACAAGACGCTGTTTCCCTCCATCGCGTCAGAGACGAGGCTCCTGAAGGACCTTCTCCAGGACTACGACAAGAGGGTCAGACCTGCCCAGCGCATCACGGACACCGTCATTACGTCATTCGGACTTGGCCTCAAGTCGTTGCTGTATCTGGTAAGTCTGTCTGTTAACCCAGGTCTGGTCTGCAAAATGTCATATTATTCTGGTCTACCAAATGTCATATCAGCCTGGTCTGCCAAATGTCATGTCAGTCTGGTCTGCCAAATGTCATGTCAGCCTGGTCTACCAAATTTCATGTCAGTCTCGAATACATGATGTCATGTAGTGTACGTTTCCCCAAATGTCATTTACTAAATGAATTGTCGAAGTTGAATACGAAATGTCTAGTCAAACTGTTTTTCTCGATGTCATTCCAGTCTAATTTTACGTCACGAAAAAACGAACTTCCTTGATGTCATGTCAACACAGATGAACTGACATAATGTCATTTTAGTAACCTGACATCGCATGACACCAATTTACTTTAAGCCACTACTACTTCGTTTACCGTACGCCTATTTAAAAAAAACCACATCACGTACTTTGTTATCTAAGACATCTATCTAACATTTTAAATACAACATTCTCTTAAACGAAATTCAGATATGTGTATGTGTTTAGACATACATGACATAGATGTGGCATTTGCCTGACATGACAGTCGATGAAAGTCCCGGTAAATGACAGCACACTGTAAAGATATCGTGAGCACAGGGTACAATGTCGACGTGATACAATACAGGTAATAAACAAATCACGCACTCGTCATAACAAAGGCCATTCAACAACTTGATGGCTTTTCCCCGTTGTCATACTGCGAAGTGCGTGAATAATTTACTTACGTTGGAAACTCTGACTTGGACTATTCAAATCAAATCGAGGTTTTAGGTTTAATAATTTAACCAATCGTAGGTTGATCAAGGGACTAGGGAAACTAGGCTAGGCAGATAGGGAAGTCTCTTTGAATGACAAGACTTGTGCCTTAAAGAATTAAATCTGTCTCTCTGAATTCTTCTTCTTCTTCGTTCTTAATTATTAGTGTTGAAGGGGATCGAGATTTATCTGCCAGTGGGGTTGAACTCAAGACTTTGTTTGAGCTTTTTGCCGACTCGACCACGCCTCCAACACAATTAAGCGTTACGTGTCAACTGGTTATGCGCCATTGAGGCCATTGACTCCGATTTCTGCCTGCTTTTCTTTTTGGATTTGCTTCCATAGCCTTTGTCCAACCAAGAACAAACTACAATGCAGCAGTTGTTTAATTTTGGAGTTGTCTCTCCTAGAAGAGTGGCTGTCCCCAGCTAACGAGCCTCATCTGCCCGAGGGTTCGAACTCGAGACTTTTCGGTTTAGCAACCATGAGCTTTACCGACTCGACCACGCCGACCCCTTTAAAGAATTAAATATGTCTGTCTGAATGACAAAATGCTTTAAGGAATTAAAACTGGCTTTCTGAATGACAAGATGTATGCTTTAAAGAATTACATCTGGCTCTCTAAATGACAAGATGTATGCTTTAAAGAATTACATCTGGCTCTCTAAATGACAAGATTTATACTTTAAAGAATTACATCTGGCTCTCTAAATGACAAGATTTATACTTTAAAGAATTACAACTGGCTCTCTGAATGACAAGATGTATGCTTTAAAGAATTGAATCTGCATCTTTGGATGACAAAATCAGGCTCTTTGATCGAAAAGAATTGCTTATTACAGTTTACAGAAATTCATTCATTTAGCGATATATCTGCTGTAATTCAGTTATAAAATAAATTTTAAACCCCCTCATCCTCAATCACACAAGTCTTAACATTACTAACACCCACCCCCCTCAGGAGCATGACTTTATTTATATAACGTGACACCCTGACCCAGTAGCGTAGCGAGGGGGGGGGGACGGGACGGACATATGTCCCCGGGCGCCGACCTTAGGGGGCGCCAAAATGGGTTGGAAAAATAAATTGAAAGGTTGAGGGTGGGGGGTGCAAATCGAAAGTTTGGGGGGGGGGGGGGGTTGCAAATCGAAAGTTTGAGGGGGGGGGGGTGCAAATCGAAAAGTTTGTCCCCGGGCGCCGGGAAGGGTCGCTACGCCTCTGCCCTGACCTAAAACTGCTAGCTCCAATAACGTTGCTAGCTTCAGAAACTTAACTAATTTTTTTTCTAGATTCAATAAGTTAGGCAGCCTAGAAATTTCTAGTATCAATGGAACTAATTTATTCCAATCGCGTCATCGTTTCGTTCTCGCGCTAATCACGGCCTTGTCGTTGTCTTGTCGGACTTAAACCGTCTTTTTATCTCGCTAATGGCGAGTTCCCATCGGGGGTCAAAGGTTATCCTTGCCTGGCTCGATACACTCAATTTGATGACGTCATTTCACAGAGAGCCACCCCAGATAATTCCGTTATTAGTTTAGACGGCATCGTAGATAAAAGAATCGAGAATAAAACGGAAATATTAATGGGTATTAGGGCACATTCTTTGCCCGATGATACTTCATTTGGGTATAAGGTGATTGTATGTTCTTAACCAAAATTTTAAAATACTTTTTTTTAATCGCGGCGCAATGTGGTCGAGTGTAAGAGCACATGATTTCTAACACGGACGTCTCGGGTTTGAATCCTAGTCTAAATTTCGTTTGTCATAGAGCCCGTTTCCGATTTCACATATTAGTAATCTATATGACTTTTCACTGGTCACTCATCCGTAAACACTCTTGCAGGTCAGTTCTGCCAGTCCTCCATTTTGGTCAGGGTTTCTTTCAAACTTTTGTCTAAAGGGGAGGGGGGTGGACACTGGTAAAAATGTATGTTTGTATATTTTCTATATAAAATCTATATTGTTCGGGGGGGTGGGTGGTTCGGTAGTGAAGAGATACCTGAAAGAAACACTGTTTGTGGACATGTTGGTAAGTCATCATGTAAAATATCGCTAATCAGTCACAACTCGAAATCTCGCTGCCTATTTCTACGCACGAGATCTCGCTGCGTACACCTCAACACGAGATCTCGCTGCGTACACCTCAGCACGAGATCTCGCTGCGTACACCTCAGCACGAGATCTCGCTGCGTAACCTCAGCACGAGATCTCGCTGCGTACACCTCAGCACGAGATCTCGCTGCGTACACCTCAACACGAGATCTCGCTGCGTACACCTCAGCACGAGATCTCGCTGCGTACACCTCAGCACGAGATCTCGCTGCGTACACCTCAGCACGAGATCTCGCTGCGTACACCTCAGCACGAGATCTCGCTGCGTACACCTCAACACGAGATCTCGCTGGTCAGACACTGCGAGATCACACAGGCGATTCCTCTGTCCAAATTCCCGGTGTCACAAAATCAATCAGCGAAGAACAAGACAGGCTTAGCGACGACATTTGCATATTTTAAATTATTTTTGTCTCCTATGAAATCTGGGAGATGGATGTCGCCGTCACCGTTGCAACTCCAAATTATAAAATTAGAATTTTAATTGGGGTTCAGACAAAAGTATGCATCCGTCAAGTATTTTGATGTTCTTTTTCTTTTTTACACAATAATTGAATATCTTGTCAATGCAGCGATAAATAAAGCATGCACCCATTGGGAATTTTAGAATAATAGTGGGTTTTTTTTTCAATAAAGTATGCCTTCTTGTTTACTAGCAACACTAAAATAAAAATGAAGGATGACCATTGTTAAAAATTATTACTTTTATAAAACTTAAACAGAAAACTAGTTAAACTAGAACCAAAGCATCTCTAGTGATGACAAAATAACTAAACTGACAGATTATTAAAACATTGACGTAAAATACTATTTTTAATATTACCCCAACCCTCCACCTTATCACTTATCCAGACGCTTATCCCAACCCTCCAACTGACCACTTATCCTCTACTGACCACTTATCCTCCAACTGACCACTTATCCCAACCCTCCAACTGACCGCCTATTCCAACTTATCCCAACCCTCCGACTGACCACTTATCCTCCAACTGACCACTTATCCCAACCCTCCAACTGACCACTCATCCCAACCCTCCAACTGACCACTTATCCCAACCCTTCAACTGACCACTTATCCCAACCATCCAACTGACCACTTATCCCAACCCTCCGACTGACCACTTATCCCAACCCTCCAACTGACCACTTATCCCAACCCTCCAACTGACCACTTATCCTCCAAATGACCACTTATCCTCCAAATGACCACTTATCCCAACTTATCCCAACTTATCTCAACTTATCTCAACTTATCCCATCTTATCTCAACCCTCCAACTGACCACTTATCCTCCAGCTGACCACTTATCCTTCATCTGACCACGTATCCCAACTTATCCCAATTTATCCCAACTCTCGACCAGGATGAAAAGCGTGAGTACATGGAGACCGTGTCCTACATGCTGACGTCATGGCACGACGGACGCCTCATGTGGAATGCCTCACAATATGGCGGCATCGACAGCCTGAAAATTCCAGCCAACCAGCTGTGGACACCTGACCTCGTGCCAGACACCAGGTAAGTGTGAAAGGGAGGGGAGGGGAGGGGGAGGAATGTCTATCGCAGACGATGATATACTGTCTGAGGGCGAGGCTTCTTAGGGTCTTGAAAGCCAAAACGAGGCGTTAATTTTGACGGTTGAAATTTCAGTTTCACAGACGAAACTTGAGTTTGACAGGTGGGGAATTGGCTTGTGGAAGTTGTTTCAGTGGCGTAGCTAAGGGGAGCAAGGGGGTGCCACCTACAGCGGTGCTCGTTTTTTTATTTTATTTAAATATACCGGACTTATTTGACAGATTTTATTAATATAAATATAAAGGCGGTTAAAAGGAGAGTTCCACACACCATCCCCCTCAGGTGCCAAAAAGAGTTGATACACCTTTGAGTTCAACTTAAGTTTGAAGGCTATAATTTTTAGTTAACCAGGAGAATTTTTTTTTTTTTTGCCTGATGGGCGGAACTTCAAGGTTGAAAGGCGAAACGTTGTTTGATTTTTGTAAAAAGAAAAAATACAGAACATCAACTAATTAAATTAGCAATACGAAGTTTCACAAACTGTGTGGGTTGTTTTTTTTTTACGTCAATTTTGTTGTTGTTGTTGTATTTGAAGTCAGAAGCAATTTTTTGTAACCCAGAAATTGTGATGAAAAGTTTCTTTTAATGTTGGATGGAGCCTTCACTTAGCATTTAAGTAAAAAGAAGATTTTTAAAAAACTTTTTAAAAAAAAAGCCCTTTTTAAAGCGTTTTTTTAAACAGCCTTTAAGAACTACTTTATTTAAATGGGAATTAAATAAAAAGTTGAAGACATGACTAAGTCGGCATAGACTCGGCTTCGGGCTGAACTATTTTTTTTTTTTACTATTTGATGAAAAGTAAGACGAGTCAGGAAGCCGTACAAATTGACAATTTTCAGTGTATTGCTACGCCGCTAGCCATGGACTACTTTTAAAGTCCCCCCAATGTTTTAGCCACTAAATTAATCAAGTCTTCTTGTTGTGAGTGTTACTACGATGGGTGGGTGGGTTTTTTATTTTTATTTCAAGCAATTCCCTAAATGGAAGTTGATAGACCTTCCCACAAGAACAGGTAATTTAGTAAGTGTTAACAGCTGACAAGTGGTAAGTGCGTCGTTTTTTCTTCTTCTTTTTCTTCAATCAAAATAATTGCTCGATGTTTAGTGATGCATGTGGGTGGGGGTGGGGGACGGGGGGGGGGGGGGGTTTGATGTACTTTGACATAGTGACAAAAGGATGTGGGGTATCGAATTTTCTGGATGAAATTAGGGGCAAAGAATGGATTTAATGAGAGGGGTCGGGAACAGTGAGGAATTGATAAGAGAGTTGGGGAACATTGAAGAATCGATGGGAATTGATGGGTGGGGAATATTGAGGAATTTGTAGGAGGGGTATGGGGAGAGTTCAGGATTGATGGAACTGTATCTTCCGTAGCTAAACCATTGAAAGTATGCCACGTGAAAAAAAAATGCATATTACACTAATTAAATTATTGTACTGCTCTAATTAGATGGTGGCCACTTAGCCAATTGGTACCTGCGGTGTGCTAATTAGAAGCTGGCTGTCCCACACCACAGTACTGGCTAGACGCTAAGATAACGAGTCCTTGAACCAGACGACTGAGTAACGCTCTAGGCCTGACGCTTTCATTCCCTTGACGGGCACGTCCGTACACGCCCGGGGGGAGGGGGGACGCTCTTATTGGTATAGTGGGGTTCAACATAATTAGAGATATTGTTCTCTGGATCACTTGTGGTCCTTGACTTTATCTGAGCGCTCGACAAGTGCGGCGGTACGAGATCTCGTGAAGGGGCGGGACTTGACCAGAGTGGCTTAGTAGAGGAGATTGACTGAGATGGAGTTAACAGAATTCTTTCAACGATTATTGCATCCCCCATTCCCCCCTAATAAATTAGCTTTCTAATTAGTATTTTCCCCCAATTATTTGTTAGTACATGTCCTGTATTTGAATAAAAAAAAATTTCATCCCAAAAGTCTGGCTGTCACGTGTTTCCGGTTTCTGACCTAATCAGAAAGTTCGCATTTCCGGTCAGGAATAAATAGATGCTGAGTAAACGAACCGTCAGACCAAAAACATTTGGCGTTCATCTCCCCCAATAAATGCGAGCCGTGTTTCACCAAGCACAGCTCTTTTTCCCTCATCCCCCCCTCCCCTTTTTATCTTACATATTAAAATTATTGTCTATTGCTGTCTCCTGAGATCACCCCCCACCCCCCACCCCCTACCAATCTCTCATATTTCAGCTGGTCCAATCTAAACAAAATATGATTATTCATTCTTCACCAGCGAATCAATGGCGGCTAGACGTCTACAGAGTCTGGGTGATCTTATGGTGCTTTCAATGGCCTCCTCTCGGTGTCCCGTCGTTAGTGAAAGGGCTGGCCATTTCCTTGGTACCATTGTTGGCCCCATCTTTACCCCGTCGTTTGGCCATCATTGCCCCCATTATTTGGCCTGTCTGTAGCTTGAGGCTGGCCCCAATGTTGTCCCGCCGTAACCTTGGGGTGCCATTAACCTTGGGGTGTCATTAAAGTCGGGCTGTCATTAAAGTCGGGCTGTCATTAACATTAGGCTGTCATTAACATTAGGCTGTCATTAACATTGGGGTGTCATTAAAGTCGGGCTGTCATTAAAGTCGGGCTGTCATTAACATTAGGCTGTCATTAACATTAGGCTGTCATTAACATTGGGGTGTCATTAAAGTCGGGCTGTCATTAACATTGGGCTATCATTAACATTGGGCTGTCATTAACATTGGGGTGTCATTAAAGTCGGGCTGTCATTAACATTGGGCTGTCATTAAAGTCGGGCTGTCATTAACATTGAGCTGTCATTAACATTGGGCTGTCATTAACATTGGGCTGTCATTAACATTGGGCTGTCATTAAAGTCGGGCTGTCATTAACATTGGGCTGTCATTAACATTGGGCTGTCATTAACATTGGGCTGTCATTAAAGTCGGGCTGTCATTAACATTGGGCTGTCATTAACATTGGGCTGTCATTAACATTAGGCTGTCATTAACATTGGGCTGTCATTAACATTGGGCTGTCATTAAAGTCGGGCTGTCATTAACATTAGGCTGTCATTAACATTGGGCTGTCATTAAAGTCGGGCTGTCATTAACATTGGGCAGTCATTAACATTGGGCTGTCATTAAAGTCGGGCTGTCATTAAAGTCGGGCTGTCATTAACATTGGGCTGTCATTAACATTGGGCTGTCATTAAAGTCGGGCTGTCATTAACATTGGGCAGTCATTAACATTGGGCTGTCATTAAAGTCGGGCTGTCATTAAAGTCGGGCTGTCATTAACATTAGGCTGTCATTAACATTGGGCTGTCATTAAAGTCGGGCTGTCATTAACATTGGGCTGTCATTAACATTGGGCTGTCATTAAAGTCGGGCTGTCATTAAAGTCGGGCTGTCATTAAAGTCGGGCTGTCATTAACATTGGGCTGTCATTAAAGTCGGGCTGTCATTAAAGTCGGGCTGTCATTAAAGTCGGGCTGTCATTAACATTGGGCTGTCATTAAAGTCGGGATATCATTAACATTGGTTAGTATTGTGATATCCTTTTCTGTTGTCCCGACAATACCTTTGGGTGTCCTTAACCTTGGAATACCATTAACTTTGAACTGTCGTTAACCTCGGGCTGTCATTAACTTTGAGTTGTAATTAACCGTTGGCTTATATTAGCCTTACATTAGCCTTGGGCTGTCATTAACCTTCTAATTTAGCTTATGTTTAACGATAGGTCAGCCGAATACTTGACCCCACACTTAGTCTGTCGTGAGCCCGAGCCAGGTCACATCCAAGACCCCATCACTGGCCCGACATTGAAACCACACCTCTAAAAATACCAGCTACATCACGTGCTAGGCCTAAAATACCAGCTACATCACGTGCTAGGCCTAAAATACCAGCTACATCATGTGCTCAGCCTAAAATACCATCTACCTCACGTGCTCAGTCTAAAATACCATCTGCTTCACGTGCTCAGTCTAAAATACCATCTGCTTCACGTGCTCAGTCTAAAATACCAGCTACGTCACGTGCTCAGCCTAAAATACCATCTACATCACGTGCTCAGCATAAAATACCATCTACCTCACGTGCTCAGCCTAAAATACCTCCCGTGCTCAGCCTAAAATACCAGCTAAATCACGTGCTAGGCCTAAAATACCATCTACATCCCGTGCTCAGCCTAAAATACCATCTACATCACGTGCTCAGACTAAAATACCATCTACATCACGTGCTCAGACTAAAATACCATCTACATCACGTGCTCAGCCTAAAATACCATCTACATCACGTGATCAGCCTAAAATACCATCTACATCACGTGCTCAGCCTAAAATACCATCTACATCACGTGCTCTGTCTAAAATACCATCTACATCACGTGCTCTGTCTAAAATACCATCTACATCATGTGCTCTGTCTAAAATACCATCTACATCACGTGCTCAGCCTAAAATACCATCTACATCACGTGCTCAGCCTTAAAAATATATCGCTCACGTAAAGTATACATTGTAACGTTCACCAGTACCTTCATTCCTTCTGTGTACTGGTGGTATTTTAATTCAGCTAAATGAATGCCTATAGTTTATTCAGCAACCTTCGGGAATTCCCATGCGGTATCAATTTAAAAACAAATCTTCAATGTTAAAAATGAGAGCACGTATATTCTTCAATTATATAGTGAGAAGTATATTCCCTTAGGGACTTCGGCATTAAACAGAAAACAAACCAACATTATTTTTTATATTCACTCTAACATGTAAACATTAGAGAAAAAAAAACAATGTGATAAATATCAAATTAAACTAGCTGTTTATTATGGGGAAATTTAATCCCATTCTTTGGTATGGGGTGTATGCCAGTAAGGTCACGTGATCGCTATCTAGGGCGTCTAGTGATGCTAAAAAAAGTAAAATCTAAGACTTTAAAAATTACAGGGGCAGTAACTCGATT